CTGAGCCGAAAGGCAAAGCTCTCGATTTACCAGTCAATCTTCGTTCCCTCCCTCACCTATGGTCATGAGCTTTGGGTAATGACTGAAAGAACCACATTGCATATACAAGCGGTCGAAATGAGCGCTCCCTTAGAGATAGGGTGAGGAGCACAGTCACACGGGAGGAGCTCGGAGTAGAGCCGCTGCTTCTCCACGTCGAGAGGAACCAGTTGAGGTGGCTCGGGCATCTGTTCCGGATGCCTCCTGGACGCCTCCCTGGGGAGGTGTTCCGGGCACGTCCCACTGGGAGGAGACCCTGGGGAAGACCCAGGACACGCTGGAGAGACTATGTCTCTCAGCTGGCCTGGGAACACCTTGATGTCCCCCCGGACGAGCTGGAGGAAGTGTGTGTGGATAGGGAAGTCTGGGCGTCTCTGCTTAGACTGCTGCCCCCGCGACCCGGCAACGGATGAAGCGGAAGAAATTGGATGGAAATCATTGTTTACTTGAACAAAATGAACTGTTTCCAACTCAAATCTGGTTCCAAAGGTGGGTTGTTTTTTAAACAGAGATAATCATTATATGAAAACACTGGAGTGAACTGTTTGCCGCTGATTATTCCCTCTGCTTCCTGATTGTAACCTGGCAAAAGCCAGATTGATGATTGTGTAGAACTCTAACGCGTTCTCCGCGATATCAATCTGGGATTTCTCCCGGAGAATCCTTTCGGGGAAAGGAGGGGTAAGCAGCAGAATACTTGAAGCTGATTGGGCGAAGTGACGCTGTGTGCCCGCCTACCAAGGTTGCCGTCCAGAAATGTACAAAGCGCCTCTCGCTGTTCATCTTTCAAAAAAGAAATTGGAGATTCTGCTAAAACTGACTTTGCGTCCGTCCTCCTGCGTAGCCATGTTTGTTTTGCTTCGGCCCGGCACTTCTTGCTTTCGTCAAACCCGGATATCCCGCCCTAAACCCCCAGACTGGCGCGTGATTGGCTCGCACACCCAGTGGTTCGACTCGAAAAGTGTAAGCGGGAGCGGTACAAGATGTATTCTCGAGTGTTTGTGAACTCACAAATACCGCGAGAATTCAGCTTGCAGGCAAGGTTATCCTGATTGTGATGACTTCAGATCCTTGATTGACAGGGGAGCTCTCTTTCTTTTGGTTTATTATTATATTCTTCTTCAGAAAATCTTTCTGTTGGAGGTTATGTGGTTATTCCGAGATGAGGCACTATTTACTTTTAAACACTTTTTTTGTTATTCAAACAGACACATTTTACACTGCAGTACAAACACAGGTGGTAAAAATATGCATTATAAACTAATGACATCCTCTTTAACCCTACGCATCAATATTTTTGAAGCTTTTTTTACTCAGAAGTATCACTGCTGGACTTAGGCCCCGGCCACGTGTGGACGGGGCCTAAGTATCTGCAAATATCTGCAAAACCACAGATATTGTTCTTTGTTTGCACCTGTCATCCACATGACAATGCACCATGAACAAATAACTCCGGGCAAAGTGGAGATTTTTGCAAACTCTGTTTATGCATTTGCGTTTAGACAGAGATAACCAGAGTTTTGCGTTTTTGCACGTCACAGTATGCCCCCAAAACAACAACAAACAAAAAGTGCGACCTCTGATCACTGAAGCATGGATCTTACTGCCTCAAAAACATCCTCGCTCCACATCAGAGAGCAGAAAAGTGATCACAGGGACTCACGCTCCTAAACAACCAAAACAGGAGCCAAACCAGGATTAAACCAGGGCTGAGGACGGGGGTCAGTGCTTGTGAGCACATGTCTTCACCCTGAGTTTCAACTATGACTGTAAAAGTGCCGCTACAGAAGTACCGGCGTCTGCATCAAAGCTCCGCCCACTTCTACAGTTTTTCCCCAACGCAGGACAGGACGTTAGAGGACGCACATGTTTGAAATTTTAAGAATGTGATTGAAAACGCAGATGTTCGGTTATGTGTGGATGCAAATTATTTTATAAACGTAGGGGGGGACATAATCGATTTTAAAAGTACTCGGCTACGAGTGGACATGGACTTCCGCAATTTTCAAAAATTCTAGAGAGGCTCTTTGTTATAAGGTTAGAAGTTTTTTTTAATAAATATAACTTACTAACGGATTATCAGTTTGGGTTCAGGAGCAATAGATCACCCTCAATGGCAATCATGGAACTAGTAGAAGAAATAGCAAAAGCCACTGATAACAAAGAGTTTACGGTGGGGGTCTTCATCGACCTTAGCAAGGCCTTTGATACTATAAATCATGATTTACTATTATTAAAACTTGAGAGATATGGAATCAGAGGGGTAGCACAAAATTGGTTAAAACATTATCTAAGTGACAGAGATCAATATGTACAAATATATAACACTAATTCTGAAAAAAGAAAGATTACCCATGGGGTTCCACAGGGCTCTGTACTTGGACCCAAATTGTTTAATATTTATGTAAATGATATTAGTCTTGCGTTCAGAAAAATGAAATATATTTTATTTGCTGATGACACCAGTATTTACTCCTCTGGGAAAAGTGTTGATCAGCTTTTGGACAGAGTGGGAAAAGAACTACAAATCTTAAAAAAATGGTTTGACTATAACGAACTATCTACGAATTTAGCAAAATCTAAGTATATTATATTCGGAAACCGGAAAATCGATGCACTGGCTGAATTAAAAATAGGTCACATAGTAATAGAGAGGGTAAGTAATACAAAGTTTTTAGGTATCAATATAGATGAAAAAATAAACTGGAAATTACACATAAATTACCTTAAAATTAAGATTTCCAAAACCATTGGCATAATGAATAAAATTAAACAAGTTTTGAATCAGAAAGCATTGCAGTTGATATATAATACCCTAATTTTGCCATATTTAAATTACGGTTCCGAAATATGGGGGAACACTTATAAGTCCACAACTCAACACATTTTTATACTGCAGAAGAAGGCAATTAGAATAGTAAATGGTGTAGATTATTATGCGCAAACAAATTCACTATTCATCAGATTGAATACCTTAAAATTACAAGACTTAGTCAAACTAAATACTGCAGCACTGATGTACAAAATTCATCATCATATGGTTCCAAATTGTATCCAGGAGAGATTTACACTGAGAGAACCGCACTATGATATCAGAGGGAAGGATTTGTACCATAAACCCAAGACCAGGACTAATATTAAAAACCACTGTATCTCATTTAGAGGAGTTGATTTATGGAACAAACTCGATAACGAGTTAAAGGTAACCACATCCATAAAAGTGTTCAAAAAAAAGTATAAAGCAGGTGTAATTGATACTTATAAAACTTTAGAATGATGCCCTTTTGGGAAAAACTCGATCTATGTGTATGTAAGTTCATTAATGCATATCTTATATATTTATGTGTTTGTGTAGGTGTGTGTATGTGTATGTATGTATATATGTATATGTGTATATGTGTATGTGTATATATATATATATATATATATATGTATATGTGAATGTATGTGTGTGCATATATGTGTTGTTTTGTTTTGTTTTTTTTTCTTTTCTTTCTCTGGTTCAGTCACTTATCATTCCTGATTCTACCAAAATCTCCATTCTGAGGTCAGTTTGAGAAATTATCTCAACAAAAATCTGGTTTGGTAGTTCCTCTTGTATCATCGCTCCAGCTGCTCTGACAAATTGAGAATGAGGGTAGACATGGTGTGGGTCTGTTGGGTAGAGGACCCCTCCCTCCAATAGGTCCATAAAGCCTTGTCTTTTTAATGCACTACACAGAACAGTTTCCAGACACAGAGGGGGCTACAGCTCTGAATGCACCACATGTTGTAAAAACAATGAAGATTACATTTATTATTGCGATGAACTGGATGGAACATAATTTGATAAGCATTGCTGATATTTTTGTTTGTTTGCATCAACAAGATAAAAATGATGATGGCAAAAATCAGGAATGTCATGTGAAATTTTTAAATATTTTGCAGCCGCTTAAATTAATTAATTGATAATGGGGAAGGCACATATAAGCTTTTGCTTCGGCCTTCTCCTTTTGAGCCTTTTTTCTTTTCTTTTTTTGTCTTTTTTTGAATTATTTGTGCATGTTATTGTGTATTGTCAAACTGCTCAAATAAAAATACTACTACTACTACTACTACTACATGGCCTTAGAAACACACAGATTTACACCTGCTTTCCAGGGGGCGGAGCTGTCTCACTTCCAAGATGTTAGTCTCCTTGGTTTCACCAAAACTGATTTTCTAGCCCTCAATTTCAAGTCTGTATCACTACCATCCTCTAATAATTTGAAATCAAAACTGCATAAAATGAAAGATGAATATATACAGATACAGTGCATTAGTTTATCTAATGGTTTACATTAACCACAGGGGGGCAATGTTGCATATCTGCAACATCCCAGAATGCATTGCCTGTGATTGTATATTACTACCCAATATGAAGATTTTCCCCAGATATCAGATTTTTTCCTGTCATTCAAATGTAATTGGGCCCTGAGAGGGTAATGCTGACCTTAACTGACAACATATCATTATGTCATCTTTAGAGCACTTGAGTCAATTACAAAGACCCAGAGGAAAATGCTCAGTGAAAGTTAAGGATGCACATATTTCACTCTGAGATATTACATTTGTTGCATTACCACTTGTTGTGTTTTCAGCTGGGTCACGTGTTACTCCAAAAAGATTAAAGAAATGATAGGTTATATATATATTATATATATACACCAACATGTTATGACTGACGAAACCATCTGGGGTTCTTGTCAAAGGCAGATGAAAAGAACACTTCACACTATTCTTCTTAAAATTTCCAATGGTAAATTCATGGTATCGGAATTTGCTGAGCTTAAATTAGCCGGACATGATTCCATCAAGGAGTCAATTATACATGTAACCTAGTCCTGGAAGGCAAGCGGCAAGTGACATTCTACCTCGTTCAAGTAAAAAAAAAAAAATAATACCTGAGACATTTTAATTAAGCTTGTGTGATGGCAAATTTATCAGTCTGGCAGAGAAGCCTCCAGCATTGATAAATTAGGCGGCTCTTTCTTGGTGCTGTAAAGGCCTGTTGTAAGTCAATGGGGAAATGTTGATGTGGTTATAAAAAGAGTTGTACTGACCTAACCAAGCTGTGGAAGGGAGCATAGATCATGTGGTGTCTTCATGAATAATGCAGCCAGCGGAAATTCAATTTGGTAGACGTCAGCCAAAGGTAACCCCTTCAGGCCGGTTCTCATCCCCAGCCTATCGCACAGCAAACGCCCCCTTCCAATCACCGTACCGGCCAGGCAAGCCGCTTAAAAGCGGAGAAACTCCCACTCTCGGCCTTCTCGAAGCCTGCAAAGAATCGTTCTGGAGGAATCGCTTTTGTCTACTCACGCTTACTTGTTGCATGTGTCCCTGCTGTCCTCTGTCTTGCTGCGTGTGGTCTGCTCTTCCTCCGCGTCGCTGCTCCTGCTGCGGGTCTCGTGCTGTGGTCCGTGGGTCTTTGCCGCTCTCCTCCTTTGCGGGCTCTTTCTGCGGGTTCGCCGCTGCTCGTCTCGTCGCGGCCTGCTGCTGCATACGGCCGGTCTGGACCGGTGCGGTGGGAGCCGTGCGCATCCCTGCCTCCTCGTGCCGGTACGGCGTGGTCCCGTTGTGTTGTCCCTTGTCTTCTGGCGTTGTGGGTAAGTATGAGATCTGCGGACGGTTTTATTCCCCTCGCATTGTACTGCAGGCTCAGTTGGCCCCGTGCATTGGTGGGCATGCTTCAGTTTAAAGCCCTCGCATTGTTCTGCAGGCTCAGTTGGCCCCGCGCTTGTACTGCAGGCTCAGTTGGCCCCGTGCATTGGTGGGCAAGCTTCAGTTTAAGGCCCTCGCATTGTTCTGCAGGCTCTCTTAACCAAGCTCCGTTAAATCTTTCACTCTGACTGCAAGCTCCGTTTATTCCTCACATTGGACTGCAAGATCTCAGTTTAATCCCTCACATTGGACTGCGTGCTATCAGTTTTAATCCCTCACTTTGGCCTGCAGGCTCTCTTTAAATCCCTCTCTGGACTACGAGCTCTGTTTAAATCCCTCTCTTTGGACTGCAAGCCCGTTTAAATCCCTCTGGACTGCGGCTCCCAAATTGAATCCCTCACTTGGACTGCGAGCTCTCAGGTTAATCCCTCACGGAACTGCTTAAATCTGGAACTGCTTATATCTGGAGCCGTTATTAATACCGTACCTGGATCTGCTTCATGCGGAACTGCTTATACATGGGACTGCTATATATGGAACTGCTATATATGGAACTGCTTATATATGGAACGGCTATATGGAACTGCTCATGTTGGAACTGCATATATGGTACTGCTCATATCTGGAACGCTTATATATAAAATAAGTAAATATAAATCAATATAAATATGAATAAATATAAATATAAATAAATATAAATGTCCATACCAAAGGCGCTCACAATCGCGAGTACTCAAACTCGGGGCCAAGGTCCAGGAGCAAAAACGTTCGCATTAGGACATGTTAACTAAGCAGTAGGGCCCACGAGGTGTCATGAAAATGCACGACGCCGCGCATTTCAACGATGTTAGCGGTGTGAGCGTACGCAGCCCGGCAGGGTGGACTAGCCCACTTTACAAATACAACATTTGTAACGACCGTCTGCTGTCGTCTTTCCGTGACACTCTTGCAGCTGTCATGCTACAACACGTTCTCTGTCACAGTTGCATGCCACATTATTAGTCTACATTAATGCTCATTCCATACAACCCGACACGTCATATATCCAGGTTAGTGATAGCAATCACCTACAGCATTAATTCCACAAGTGATTTGCTTTTCTAAATCAACAATTTCTTAAGACTGTAGACTATGGAACCGTGTGTGAGAGCCGGCGCTGAGCATGAGTATGTACCCGCTGTTGTGCGCCTGTTTAGGTGAATGACAAAACCAAACCCCGTCCCGGTTCAACTGCGCACCTAGCAGCTATCAGCATCAGTGTAGGGGACACAGTTCGCGGGCACAGGACCAGTATTTGAGAACAGCAACAACACGTCTGACTTTAGGTTGATTATATCTCTAGCCATCCCTACCTCCGAAAACACTACGTGAATGAGTCTGTATTTCAAACTATGGACACCCGCAGCGGCAGAGGACTTCTTTATTGTGAAAAATATCTGAGCCCACGCCCACTTACAAGCATTTTTGATTATGAGTGGTAGAACACGTTTCCCGGCTTGATGCTAACAGCAGCTATGCTAGGGCTTTAGTGTCCAGATTCTCTCCCACTCTTCGCAGCTTATGCGCGTGTCTTTGCACACCAGACATTCCACGGGGTAATAATAACCTTACTCAGTGTTCATGGCGGTGCGCCCTACGTTATACTCTTATTCACCGGTAAATCGCATCGGCGAACCCACTCGCGCAGTATGCATAGGTCACGGGAGCAGACACCGCATTATTATCACAAGCAGAGTCCCCATTGTCCAACCCTGAATTGTAAGTTCTGGTGCGCTGTTAGGGTCCTGTATAGGAGGTATACGAGATATTTACAGTACTGGCTCGCATCAGTCGCTAATGTCCCCGTGACCACCTATGTGCTCTCTGAGTGGTTGTTCGCACGAACGTCGCACAAGGAAAGGTGCGTTAGAATCATCTCCTTGTGGGCGTAGAATTTTTCGCTCCACCCTATTTCACACATATCCCCGTCATTATAGAACAGACCGTGCCCCCCCCCCCCCCCCCCCCCCCCCCCCCCCCACCCCCCCCCCCCCCCCCCCCCCCCCCCCCCCCCCCCCCCCCCCCCCCCCCCCCCCCCCCCCTTCCCCCCCCCCCCCCCCCTCCCCCCCCCCCAGCCCCCCCCCCCCCCTCCTCCTTCCCCCCCCCCCCCCCCCCTATCCCCCCCCCTCCCCCCCCCCCCCCCCCGCCCCCCCCCCCCCCCCCCCCCCCCCCCCCCCCCCCCCCCCCCGTTCGTGCGCCGAGAGGTCCGTGCGTTGTGACGGTCGAACGCGCGCACCATAGACTTTGCATGAAACCCGACGCAGCATGATCCGGTCTGAAAGCCCCCATTACACTCTGCCAGCGCGACTGCCGTGCGCACGCTCTTTCATAGGTATACTGCTCTGGGGTCAATTGGGGGCATTTAAATAGTCTAGTAATAGTGTGTGTACCCTAGTGCCAGCTCTGCTCCGCCGCTGCAGCTCCTTGTGGGTTCGCCTGGTCCTGGCTTTGCCACACATGCCACGGGAGGTTTAACATCCCTCAACATTAGCTCAAGTCCCAAACCTGAGTGGTCCTGAGGTCCCATGCCGGCTGCCTGCCTTTTGCTCGAGTATTGACGTGGTAAGAAAGAGGAGTGTCATGAAAATGGCTTAATCGTAAACTAAATTCTAAACATCTCAGCAGTGGTGTGGGTTATTGAACCCACTTGAACGTACTTTTAGTCCTCTTCATCGAAAGTAACAAGGTAAAAAAAGCATTTATCTTTGTATATGAATTCTTTTCACATTAGCTCCTAACAGGCTATTTTATTAACAGTCACTCCCTGTGAGCCAGCCCTGATAGCCAGCCGCACGCTTCTCCTGGCCCCCCTATTGAAGCGCTCACTGTTGTTTTGCCTAGAGATTTATGTTGGACTCTACATTGTTCATGAATTTACTGTAAACTTGACGCTGACTGTCTGTGATTCTGGGATGAAAGTGTATCGTTATCTGCACTAAACTTTACTTTTGTTTTAGGTTGCAGAGGTTCCATGTGGGTGCACTGGTGACCCCTGGTGGTGGTGTTTTTTTGAGCCGAACGGTCTAGGTTATTCCCTTTTTGTGTTTTGTAGTGTCTGCTGTGCAGGGGGTTCTACTCCTCGTCCAGTTGCTAACTCCCCTCTTTCTTTTGCACAACTTCCCACTGTAGCCTCAAGCCTCTAAATTTTAAAACAGGTCCCCTTCCTGAGTGGGCAGTTTTAACCTTTAAATGTATTAACAATGAACTTCTATAGTTTGAATAAATTAACAATTGGTTGAAGTATCAATGGTCGGCCTCACCTTAATAAACCCCCATTTTGTACAGGATGGAGTCTGGTATTTCATTTCTCTTTGCAGTTATCGAATCTGTGTGTCTACAGGACATTCCTTGAGAGAGTGGCATAAACTCTGTGATACAGTAACTGGATCCCATTCTCAACAATGTCATGTGTTTTGGAAAAAAAGAGATTTTCTCAGTGCTCAGAATGAGTTGTAACTGTATTGTTAAAATAATGGTAATGTTGGAAGTGCCGCTGAGTTGAAGTCTTAAGGCAGTAAACTGACTCACTATTATCATTTCAGTGTACAACATTGTGTTTTAATGGCTGATTACAAGTTGTGCCACAATCTGCCGCTAACCGTCGGCAAAGAAATCAAGGATGAAAAGACATTAGTGAACTTCTGGTTTTAGTGGTATCCCCCTTTAGAAACTAAGGCAATTCCTGCCTTTAATGCAATGATGTTGAATGATTTGTGATGCGTTTTTGAGTATTCAACTATACTCAAGATGCTCAGTTTGAAAAGGGCTTTTAGTTAAGACTAAGGTGCCATGTATTCATATAAAATATATTGTGTATATAATTTATAATCCCATACTAAGACTGGGAATACTGTATAATTATTAACATTTACTGTATATATATGGCTTATTATGAATCACTTTTCATACAATAGTCTGATAAATATAATGATGAAATAAGAGCACATTATAGAGATGCTTATTTTGTTATTAATAAAGGACATTTGCAGATGACAGTCTCACTTCCAAAAGCTTTAAAGTTGTTAGCCACACTCTTAAGTTTTATTTGTGTGTATATTTCCAGTATATTATTCTTCTGTTACTCATCAGTGTCTGTTTCTCCTGCTGTGTACCTCTAAGATTAAATACAGGAAGGATTTATGTATTTTATTTTGAGGTGTCCATGTTTTAACTTGATGTTTGTGTTCTTTTTCAGAGATTTTGGTGAAATGGAACTCAGACTTTCTCTGACAGCAACAAAATCACACGCCCTCATTTCTCCAGCTTCACCTCCATCACCTCCTGCTTCACTGCGGATTAACAATATGAACTACAACAAACATATTTTCATGTTTTATTTAATCATCAGTCATGAATAGTTAAGAACAGTGGGATCTGAATCTCTGAAGACGAGGAGCAGCAGCAGGAGCAGCAGGAGGAGCAGCAGCAGCAGGAGCAGCAGCAGAGTCCTGGGCGTCTGCCTCAGACACCTTCATAGAGAGCCTGGAAATAAAAAATAAAACTTGTTGGTGTTATTATAATTTTGTTTTTTGTGTCTGAAGTGTAAAGAGTCATGAAAAAAAAGGTATTATTTACACAGGTACATATTTGTCAGCAGTACTTAAAGTTAAAATTGAATACATTCAACTCTAATCTGATCAGTAACAGTCTGTTGCTTTTCAACATCCTGTGTCCTTTTTACTGATGTTCGTTAAAATACAGATCCATGGATGTGCTTATTATTCTTATAGATCCATGGAAATTCCTTTCTCATCAGAAAACACGTCATTACATTTATGTTAGTGATGCAAAAACGAGGGCCATAGCAAATAAATCAATCATATATCATTTATGGCATATGTGTGCATTGTTTACATACACTATGACTTTGTAAAAACTAATGAGTACTGCCAATACAATTGTTATAACAGAGAAAGTCCGTAACAAAAGCCTCGGATTTTCAGAATTAAGATTGTGAGAGCTCCACTGATGTGTCCCCGCGTTGAGACGCTCTTTCTCGGCTTGAGCACTGCCCGACCCCCGCTCTCTGGAGAAAAGTCTGACAATGTTCTATTTGATCACCAAACAGACCTCCGATATGGCAATAGAGGGGGGTATTTCTCGCCTCAAATGTTATTACAATTAACGTTTATGTCCTAATTAAAGCGTATTTTACACTTTTTACCTTAAAGGACAACTCACCCTCAAATCCACTTTTTTTTGCTGATAAACGGTATAAATGAGTGTCCAATAGTGTTGTAAGTAGTAAGTAAGTAATCTTTATTTATATACCGCCTTTCACAGACCAGAGTCACAAAGCGGTTTACAATTGTTATTATTTTTGGGCACTTGTCCTCTCACTCCACTCAGAGATGGGAGTGGGGTCGGCAGTACAGGAGGCGCATGCCAGACCTATTGTTCATGTTTTTAGTGGTAGGGGAAACCGGAGTAACCGGAGGAAACCTACGCAGACACGGGGAGAACATGCAAACTCCACTCAGTTGTCTACATATCCTGGTCATAATTTTGTCACATTGGTGCAAATTAGTTGAAAGTTAAACTTTCTGCCTAAAACCGCCTGTGAGGCGCCATCTGCTGGCGACCTGTATTACTACATTTGAATTTTGAATCTGGCGCCAACACTGGCGCGGCAGCAAGACCTGACGTCTGAAGCAAGACCTGACGTCAGCGGCCCCCCGCCCAGAGCAATGTAAACGACCCAGTCTCGTTCACGCCCCCTTTAGTCCTCCAGGCTACGCCCATTTAGAGGAAGATTTGAGAGGGACGTAAGCTCTGAGGAGCGGGGGTGAGAACCACTTTAATCCTGGCTCCCGTGTCCTTCCCTCTCCGAGTTGTGTTGGCAACAGAGCAGGCCTGACCCAAAACGCTCTTCCTTGACGCGCCTCCAGAACGCTGCCCTCTAGTGTCCTGGACGCGTATGACGCGCCTCCAAGATGCTCTGTGACAACGTCTGCCACAATTTGTCACAAGCATCCCAAGACGCGCGTCAGACGCGATTTTGCCGCAGAAAACGCGCTTGGTCTGAACGCACCTTAAGACCGCACAGAATCATTAGAGCTGGTGTCTGATCACTCTCTACATCTTTGACAGAGCCAATGCTGATGTCAAGTGTCAATCACAGTCTAGACCCGCCCAACATTTCCCCCCCGCCTGTCCCCTTTAGTCCTCAAGGCTACGTCCATTTGGAGGGAGATTTGAAAAGAAAATGTGAGTGACGTAAGCTCCGAGGAGCGGGGGTGAGAACCACTTTAAGAAGGCCAAATATCAGTGGCTTTAGTGGCTGTTCAGAACAGAGATCAGAAGCAAATGCAAAAAAATTAACAAGTCTGAGTCTGAAAAATATAGGTATGTAAAGCCCTTATTACCACATTGGTCATTTCAATCTTGATCTAAATGATTTATTCTAATACTGTCCATTGCCAATTTTCCACCCTAAAATTAAGTGACCGCTTATCATATCTCTTGATACATTACAGCAGGCGTGTCCAAACTTTGAATTAAAAGGGCCACTTTAGTTCCCGAGACTTGTCCAGGGGCCGACAACACGGATTGTAAAACTATTTTGGCCAGAATTAAATCTAAATGAGGTATAACATGACCATTCATACATATATACTCATCTGTGAGAGCTGAGGTTATCTGATAAGCCATAATGAAAAAGAAATTAATTATGTGCATACTAATAAATGTATTCAAAAGGTTGGATGGATCACACTGTGAACTTGTGTTTATAATCTCAATGTCATTTGGTAAGCATAGGGCCACATTTAAGGACAAAGCAGGCCGCAATTGGCCCTCGGGCCTGAGTATGAACATGCCTGTATTACAATCTAGAGAGGGCCACTTTCACCAGACTTTCATTCAAAATGTACTGAACATATGTATATGTTCCATGGGTGTCGTCCATTAAAACTTGCTATCTACATGTTTCTTTTCAATAAGTTTATCTAGATTTTGGACTGTGATTTGAAAACAGAGTGTCGAGAGCATTACCTTTATTTTACAAGCCAAAGTGAAAATACACATTCAGGAAGTGCCCCATCCTCTCCTTGTGAAGACAGTAGCTGCGTTTCCATTGAGCATCAAATTTCGAAATTTGAATTTGCGCATCATAAAATGTCTAATGGAAACGCGCAAATTTCGAAAAAACCACAGTTTTTCGATAAAAAGTTAATGCGCTTAAAATAGGTGGTTTTTTGGACGTATCGAAATTAAGTTTTTCGCAAAACGGCAATGGAAACACTTATTTCGATATAGCGGAGGAAGCCGAGCTGAGCTTTATTCAGTGAGTTTTGGCTGCGCTTCGTGTGGAGACTTGGGAGATACGTGGGAGAGGCATGGGGGAGAGACGGGGAGGAGACGGGGAAGAGACGGGGGAGAGGCATGGGGAAGAGACGGGGGAGAGACGGGGAAGAGACGGGGGAGAGACATGAGGGAGAGGCATGGGGAAGAGACGGGGGAGAGGCATGGGGAAGAGACGGGGGAGAGGCATGGGGGAAGACGGGGGAGAGGCATGGGGAAGAGACGGGGGAGAGACGGGGAAGAGACGGTGGAGAGATGGGGGAGAGACGGGGGAGAGACGGGGAGGAGACGGGGGAGAGACGGGGAGGAGACGGGGGAGAGACGGGGAGGAGACGGGGAGGAGACGGGGAGGAGACGGGGGAGAGACGGGGAGGAGACGGGGAGGAGACGGGGGAGAGACGGGGGAGACAGGCAAGACCCGTGTCTATGGTTCTGTGCGCGCGTCTATGGTCCGCGCTCGGTACATGAACACGCACGTTCGCGGAGCTGTCAAAGCAGCCACAGTTTCTCCCGGGGTCAGAGAGGATGAGAGCCGCAGCAGAAGTCAAGACATTAATATATCTCACGTAAAGTGTTGTTTACTTCTGTTGCCATGTTGACGTACTAGAAACTAGTGAATAAACGCGCGAAAATAGTGTATACTTATTCGAATATGTCTTAATGGAAACGGCCGCTTTTGCGAATTACAGGTTTTTCGAATTTTGAAATGTATCGAAAAAGTTTTTGCGCATTATTCAATGGAAACGCAGCTAATGACGTCTTCCAGATGGTATCAGGGCAAACAGTCTAGTTCTGCTGCGTGCCCTCCTGTACAATCCCCTGGACTCTCCCGGTCAGGTCTAACCTACACTAGCCCAATCTATAACAGTTAGCTTATGGTAGCTACAAAACTACCGTGTTATAGTGTAATAAATCACAAGGTAAAGAATGAACATTAAATTCCACTGAAGGAAGTCCTAGTAAAAAAATGCAGTATTTATGAAGAATTCTATACATTATTGCATGAATATTACATGATCAGATGAGATAGACGTTATTGATCAGACACAGGAGAAATTTACACATCACATTTGGCATAGATAGAATCACTCAGATTGTGCAAAAGACAGAAGTGTTCAACATGTTAAAGGTTAAAAATATTGTCTGTGCAGGATATATTATGTACAATAAAAAGTGGCATTTAAAGAAAAAGTGGCAATAACAATGCAGGTTTTGCAGTCCTACTGCATGACTTAAAGTGACTCATTGTACAGTCTGACAGCAGTGAGGATGAAGGCCCTGCAGTGGCGCTCCTTCTTGCACTGAGGGTGTCTCAGTCTTCCACTGAAGGAGCTCCTCTACAGTCCTGTGCAGTCGGTGAGAGGCATTGTCCATGATGGAGGTGACTTTGACCAGCACCCTCCTGTCCCTCACCTCCTCCACAGAGTCCAGGGGCCTCCTGTCCCTCACCTCCTCCACAGAGTCCAGGGGCCTTCTGTCCCTCACCTCCTCCACAGAGTCCAGGGGCCTTCTGTCCCTCACCTCCTCCACAGAGTCCAGGGAGCAGCCCAGAGCGAAAAAAATTAAATGAAAGAAATACGTCACACAGTTGAGTCATATTTTAGTTATTTATTGTAAGTAATCTCTATTTATATAGCGCCTTTCACAGACCAGAGTCAAAAAGCGCTTTACAATTGTGGACATTTGTCTCACTCCTGGGCCGGCCTACAGGAGGCAAATTGCCAGACTTATTGCACATGTTTTTAGTTGTAGGGGAAACTGGGGCACCTGGAGGAAACCTACGGAGACACTGGGAGAACATGCAAACTCCACACAGAAAGGTCTTTTTTGCTGTGAAGCACGCATGCTAACCAAGTACCGCCTAAAATGATCACATCTATTTTGAAGGAAGTGACGTTTCACTCAATGCCATGAGAAATTAAAAGCAATATGTGAACAGAGCAATTGAGTACGGTTCAAACATTTGTTGAAATTGTGTCTTGGTCAGGGAGCGGGAGGAGGCAGGGAGTGGAATTGGAGTTGGTCGTGAGAATATGGGGAAATATGGAGAGAGGTGGAGAAGTAATAAGAAGTGGAGAGTTGGATAATGGTTTTGTTCTAAAATAAATAAATAAACATAACAGATTATCTTCTGAGAACAGGGAGAGTAGAAGCAAGTAACAAATCAAAATCACATTTACACAGTTCTCCACAAGAACAAAAGAAATCTCCAAAATCAGCTCCGGAAAGGCAATAAAGAGAAGGTGCCATGAGGCTATAATTCTTGATTGGAGCGTATAAGGCAGGAGGTGCTAAGCTTTGTTCTTGACTTCATGGAGCACCCTCAGGTGCTTACCGTTACAATTTGGACAGGGATTTTTTGAGATTACAGTTTGTATCTCTATGATCCCTTGCACAATGCCAGCAGCGAAGATTGTCTCTGATCCATTTTTGGAATGTCTCAGGAGATAGTTGACGATGGTCTGGGCAGACACTGAGATGGTGGTCAGGAACACCACGGAATGGACATACATGGCGAGAGTTTCTGGACAATTTTGACATGTTTGGGAAGGGGGATGGCTTGTTCCATGCAGAATAGATGAAGGCCTATTAATTAATCAAGTATGAAATATACCTCATCAAGCCAAGTCATGGTTTGACAAGATACAAATCTATGCACATTTAAAATTAATCCTAACCACAGTTAGGCTTGGTATTAGCCATGTGTCCACCAGACTGAACATCTGATGGACACATGACTGAACATCTGATGTCATAGGGAGCTGAAATATACCTCCTCAAGCCAAGTCTGGTTTGACAAGATACAAATCTACACGCGCCTATAACATTTTAAACAGACGCAACACTCATAGGATGGACCTTTGCTCCTCTCAAGGACGACCACTTTCTCCACCACTTCACCCTTTTCTCCTGTTTCCTTTCTGTTGTTTCCTGGAGTTCATCATGTTCTGGCTTCAGAGCAGAGTTGTTGCTCTTTGAAGTGTTCAGAGCCTCTGATATCTCCTGCACCTTTAACTTCATTGTCCACATCTGTTTTTCATGGGTTTCCTTCAGGCATGTCATCTCCTGTTCAGTTTTTAGAACTGTCTTTTGTAGACTGTGTATTTGTTCCTGACTTGAAGCGCTGATCTTTGTTTTATCCTTGTTTGAAGCAAATCTTAAAGATGAAACATCGGCTGTGAGAGAGTCTATTGTCCTCTCCTTCTCCTGCACTTTGGCCTGCAGTTGTTCCTTTTCATGACTCTCTTGGTCCAGGGCGGCTGTGAGAGACAACACTTTAGTTTGGAGATTGTCTCTCTCTCTCTGTAACTGCTCCACGTCTCTCTGTGCCGCAGTTTTGGCCTTTGCCTCCTCTTTCCCCTGATTGTTGATGGCCTCATTCTTCTCCATGGCCTCTTGGCTTGCACGCCTCTTGTGGTCCAGGACAGATGTGAGAGTCCCCAGTTTTGCTTGAAGCTTGTCCCTCTGTTTCTGCAGCTGCACCGCCTCTTGCTGTGCTGCAGTTTTGGCCTTTATTTCCTCTTTCAGCTGATCATTGAGGGCCTCATTCTTGTTCTGCTCCTCTTGCAGGAGCTTTTGCAGAGAGTTGCTCTGCTCTATCCTCAGATTGAGGGTATTCAAAAAGGGACTGGACCTGATCTTTGTATATTTGTGCGGTATTGCATAGGTCTTCATTTTCTGCGAAATGTTGGTCTTCTAGACGCTGAATATATTCATCTTTGGCTTCAATTTTGTCTTCCCAATGATCTCTCTCCTTTTTCACATGTTTGTCACACTTGGCTTGCCAGCGATTCTTTAATGCCAGCGTCTGTTGGACATGATTTTTAACCATCTCATTCATTCTCTCTCTTAAGACCTGGTTCTTAAGCTGCAGGGCCTTTTGGGAGGCCTGGTGTTCCTTCCTCTCTGTTTCTAACTGATCTCTGAGCTCCTTGGTTTGTTTCAGCAGATCTTGAGTCTGTGAGCCTTCGGGGAGGCAACGTGTTTTCTTTCTGGTCCACAGACATAATGTTGTTTATATCTGATTCTCGGGGTAATGTAGGGCTTACTTTGTTCTCTGTGTATACTGAGTCAGATACTTGAACCTGTACGTCCTTTGGAGTTATGTGCTGCCTAACCTGTGTGAAGATTCTTATCAAGATGGAATGATGTCATGGAATGACGTAATGGAATAGTGTTACCATGGAAACGGTTGCCAAAGTTACCGGAACATTATGCAAAGTTACACCCATCATGGTGCCAAGAAAGCAGCTGCCATTTTCAAGAAATAAGAATCTAATAGTTAATAGTTTAGCTCTCTAAACACCTGAATGAGGAGCGCCCTTGATGTTGAAGGAAACTGATTTTCCATTTGCTTTTCCTCATGATCCAGAATATACAAAGTATTTGTTAAATAAAAAAAATAATGACTTTTTTACTTTCAGATCCTACTACCCTTTCTGTACTGAAGGCATTACTTCCATGTAAAGCGCTTTCTTTTTGAGTAGCGTTTAAAGTAGGTGTTTTGATTTAAGAATAATGAGATTGAAAGAGGGTTTCACACCAAATTTCTTGGAGTGGTTATTGACTCCAGATTAATGTGGAAACAACATATTGACCATGTGAAAACAAAAATATCACAAACTATTGGAATTTTGTCAAAAACTAAAGATTTACTCTCCGATAATCCACTACATATAATCTACTGTGCGTTGATTCTTTCATATATGACTTATTGTGTGGAGCTACGTGGAACTACATTTAATACTGTGATCAACTCTATTGTATTATTACAAAAACGTGCCATTCGCCTGATAAATAAAGTAGGATATTATGATCATACAAATCATACAATAAGTAAGTGGAGTGCAAAATGTTTATTGGAATGATGCCTTTTACAAGCTGTAATGACACCATAGACTGTATATACTGTAATAACGGACAGAGTCACGCCTATCTTCGCCGTTCTAACTATTGGGCCAAAGATAGTGCTCTACTGGAGCTATCCAAAATGGCTGCGAAATTGTGAAAAAACACATTTGCGCATGCGTCAGTCGGCGCAAGCTCCATTCATTTGGAACGAGAGACTTCAAAAATTCACAGCAAGTAAACTAGAGTGGTCCAAAAAAATTCACCCCCCTCAGCATTGACACACATGTGGAACGGAGCTTTGGGCCAAGAGCCAACTTTTGGACCATCTTGACAAGACGTTTTCGAGAGGTCTGCCGATGCTATATGTTAGCATTGGCTAATTCTTCTTCTGGGTCCACCCCCATCGGCCCAGGGTGGTATTGCAAGCATGTCAGGGCACGTCATTTTGGCCACTTTTGAGCCGGGACCCTCCCCCACTGAATGACACACATAGATTATTGTGGATGTTAAAGGACAACTCACCCTGAAATCCACCTTTTTTTGCTGATAAACAGTATAAATGAGTGTCCAATAGTGTTGTCTACATATCCTGGTCATTATTTTGTCACTTTGGTGCAAATTAGTTGAAAGATCAACTTTCTGCCGAAAACTACTATTACTATTGTTAGTATTAGATAGCAATATGGCCTACGTGCAGGACTGTACAAGGACTCTACAAGGACTCCATGTTTTGACTATGATTTGACTGTCTCTTTGTGACACGTATGTCTTTCGATGTGTGACGTGACAATGACTATATAAACTGTGTACTGCCTTTATTCTGTCTGGGAGAAAGAAACAAAGTAAACCAGTGGAACTTGAGAGAAACTTAAATAAACTTCCAGAGTTTGGCACACCACGATCCGTCTCTGTCTGCTAAATCCCTGACAGATTTGGTGGAGGATGTGCGGCTCAGTATGTGCCATTCTCTGGATTGTTTTGAGGGAGTTTTCTTTGTTTTCTTTTTCTCGGCGTGGGAGAGCTGAGAGTGTCTGGGGCCTGGGAGCGGTCCAGCAGGCTGGAGAGGCGACCGGCTCCGGGACTCTTTTTCGCTCTCTCACTATATTTTTTTGTGTCCTGTTTTTTGGACTGAGCGTTTAAAATTGTTTTCCCATGTCCACATTCCGGGGATTTTTGACGTGCGATTGGTCTCTGCCGATGGAAACTAGTTCTCGGTACTAGTGAGCGCTGGTTCATGATCTGGAGACCCGATCTAGTGAACTAAATTATGGTCTGTTTTGAGGTCCACCAAATGTCGTATATCTATATAGATCGGATTAGGTAAGATTCAGGTCCGCCACCTCGATAAAATGGCAGTGTAATTGATCATCAGGTCCGCCACCTCGATAAAATGGCAGTTTAAATGATCATCAGGTAAGCCACCTCGATAAAATGGCAGTGTAATTGATCATCAGGTCCGCCACCTCGATAAAATGGCAGTTTAAATGATCAAAACAGGTTGCTACCTCGACAAAATAGCAGTTACGGCCAGAATAGTTAGTGAAACCATGGTGTAAACATAAAAGCAATAAAAAGGGAAACGTGTTAAAGAGGCCTTTGTTACAAAAGCTTTGAAATTGACGAATTTCAGGCTGATAAATGACAAAAGTAAAGAAGCAACAATATTTCAGTGATCACGGTTTAAATTACATACAGAAAAAGGATTTTTTGTTTTTTGGCGTGAACAGAGTTCACCGGAGAATGCAGAGTTTTATCTACAGTTGAGCTATGAGAGGGTTGTATCCAACAGTTGTTTTTGTTTTTTAGAAAGAGATTTTGAGTTTAAATTAGTTTGCTACCTCGATAAAATAGAAGCGTAAGGGAAATTAAAGAGTAAGAGTGCCTTTTGTTACTAGTGTGGAAAGTGATCACTTCTAGACTTGGATGACAAAAGTATAAACTACAAGTTATATTCGCTTAACAAATTAATCTTGAAAGTTATTCTTCTTTCTGTTTTTGCATTTTTGCTAAAACACTACTTTCTGCCTGTGTGTGTGTGTGCCGCACTATCTGCTGCCGTTGTCAGGGAAACGGCCCCCTCCTTCGCTACTCTGGCTCTGAATCAGAGCTACTGCTTTAGGATTTTTGGCTTTTCATAGTTGTTTTTCCGTTAAATTTGCGAAATTTGCCATTGAACATTGTGTTATGACACAGTTAAACGTTTTTAAACACCATTAGGGAATAGAAGTTTTGAATTAGTATGTTTTTGAAACCCAAATATTAGTGCTAAGCTTTGCTTTTCTGTTTAAATCTGCTGCTTATTTCTTAACTGTTTGTGAGTTGTGTTTGTTTTTATGTTTTTAGTTTAGTTACAAAAGCAGTTTTTCAAACATTTAAATTAGAATCTGTGTTAAAAGTGCTTATTGATTATAGACTTCGTCTAAAAAGAAAGAGGGAATTAGGCTGTAAAAGTATTATTACGTTGAACTGTACCCAATTCACCCAATTCACATTCAAGTGGTGACTTTTGTTTTTGTTTTGACTACACGCCTGACCTTGCTGCTGCTGCTGATGCACACAGCAGAGGAGACTGGCTCTAAAATGTGCTCCAATTCATATTGACTTAATTTGAAAAATGCTGCAATTATTTTAAATTAGTAGAATAGATGCTGAGATAAATAAGTGTAAAAGGGAAAGTCCATAAAGTGAAACCCAAGAATGCATAGATAATTAAACACACAGTACAAAAGTACATAATACATATTTTAAAGGTTGAAGGTTTAAGAGATTTGAGTCTTGTTTTTTATTAAGAGAGTTTCTGGTCTTAAAAGTGTCATCATTAGTAAGAAAATAAGTAATCTTTATTTACATAGCGCATGTTGAAAAACCCAGAGCGCTCCAAAATTGTTTTGACTTCAGAAAGATAAACAATCTCATTCGCATACTGATATCTATTGTTTTTTAAATTGGCCGTCTCAAGGATTGTTTTTCAGACTCTGCCACACTGTACGAGAGGTCACTGCTGGACACTGGACAGAGCAACGCCCACCCAGCCACAGGCCACAGAGCTAAGAGCAAAGGGCAACAATGCCACCTCTACGCCCCTCCCCCCACTACAGAAGTAAGTGGGAGTGAGACCGGGGCCATGAAAGTGGAGGTTTCTGGAGGCAGTGATGGGTGGAGGCCTCAGGTAGAGACCTAGAGGCAGTTGAAAGTGTGTCCACGTGGTTACATCGACACAGTGTGACCTTTGAGACCTGCAGGTGGTTCGAGGAGTCTGGAGACACAACCCCAAAATTCACACCCTACACACATACACACACACACACACACACACACACACACACACATACACACACACATTCACATTTACATATAGATACATGAAAAAGCAGAACATGAGAAAAAAGCATTTTAAAAGTTTACTCCAATGTAAACACATTTTTAATTGTCTATCACTTGAATCAGTATTTTTTGAGACCAGAAATGTTCATTTGAATTCTATATTGTCATGGACTTAATTGACCTCTGTCCTGACACTTTTGATTTGTTGATTTTGTACTGTGTAAAGTAATTACATTGATTAGAATTAGATATGATAAAAACACAAATTAGAGAAGTAAACTGAATCATTGCGCTTGCTTTTTGTCTGAGGGACATTAGCAACAGCATGAATAGAAATTGTCTTTACAGTAGAATCAAAGTGACTTAACCATAGAAAGTAACTATTGCATAACAAGCTGTGTACAGGAACTGTGACACTGCACCATTGACCAGAAGTGCATCGCAAATGACCTGATGTGCTTCAAGTGAAAAGACTGTATCTGGAGATCCTGATGTGTATCTGGAGAGACCAAAACCATGGCTTGGACCCTACTGATGTCCAAGATGACATCTCTCGAAATATGACCTGACCTGATGACGACTGAGACTCACCCTCAGAGAACCTGAGGATCTGAGGATCTGAGAGAGAAAAACCTGGGGAGTGATGTTTATATTTTTTAAATCATACATTGATGAGTGCTAAATGAGAGAGATACTCATGATTCTTTCTTTTGTTTTTGTTTGTCCCTAGCTTCTGGACATCTGATGATCTATTGGACACAGACATTTGCAGAACAAGAACCAGCCAATGAAAACGTCTATTGCCGATGCTATTGCTACAACCAGAACCTGTGAACAAATGCAATATACATGTTAAGTATTCAGACATCTGACAGACAAAAACTTTGACTTTTTTGTCTGGGAGACTGAGCAACAGTTAAAACTTTGAAAATGATAAAGTATGAGTATTTTAGCGTTTTAGAAGATGTTAAATAGTAGTAAAAAAGTAGAATTTGACTTCCTTTGTTGTTCATAAACACATTTCCACGTAAGAGTTAAAATAGTAGCATACAATGTTATCCTTTTGATAGAGCAGCTAGAATATTAGAATCAGAATAATGTTACAGCCATTAAAAGTGACAGAAGTCACAAACTAGAAATATGCCTTTGCTCAAGCTGCAACCAAGCTTTAGAGTCACAATAGAGTAAAAATAGAAATAGATAAATGCATCAACCATAGATGCTTTCAAAAATAGAGATTATTTGTAGCCAGTGGTAATATCAAATGGTAAAAGGACCATTTCACAAACATTTACTTCAGAAGTAGATAAAGTTACTTACAGTTTTATGTACAGTTTTATTAGATACTTGTCAAATTCACTTGTGTTCAAACATTAGTGAATGTTGACAATGCAAAAAGTTAATGAGTGTAGCCTAGATTAAAGCCTAGATCAATGAGATAGATTACATTTAAAAGCATTTTGATGTATTTGGGTGTAGCCCAAAAACACAATAGTAGATATTTAGATATTGAGAAGTTTCCAGCACAAACACCAGTGTAGAATAACTGACCCCAAACCTGCTAAAATAGATTAGCTCTTGTAAGGATTATACTAATTTGATTAATGATGTACATTCATCCCAAACTGTCTGAGAGGAGGAAGTGACAGCACTTCCTGGTTCAACAAATGTATTTGGAAAACTGACCGCCATAATAATGTTAATATTAACCATTTGTCTTTCTGTGTTCACAGTTTTATTCCTGAGAATGTAGAGTAGACATAGAGCAAAATCCCACTAACAATAAGCCACTGATAATGAAAGTAAACCACAGAGAGATTACTTAGATTAAAATGTATGTTTAAGAATATGGCTCAATAAAAGCAAATATGCAAACATATTTGTAAATAGATTAGAATAGTTTTAAACTATAGTAAATAGATTAGAAAGTACACAGTCTAAGATTAAAGTGAAATAAGTGAAGTGTAGTGTAAACAATTAGCATTAGAATAAAAGTATAGAGTAATAAAAGTGAAATTAGCTTCTACGTCATGGTGCTACGTCCCTTAGGACTTCGCTAGTGGGATATCACGTGACCCCCAGGTCACAGACGCCAGAGAGATCAAAATAATTTGCTCCAATCACCAGCCACCTTCCTCTATAAATGCCCCTGCACAAGGCCGCACCCCCTCTTTCACTCTGGCGCCGTTTGAGATCTACATTCGTTACCTGAGAAAGAAAGATGTCTTCTGATGCACGTCCGAGTTCCCCTTCGCCATCCGGCGTCGGACGTCGTCGTTGCTCGACCTGTCGGGGCAAGCTCCAACGCAAGGACCAGCACTCCAGCTGCTTCATGTGCCTGGGTGCGGGCCATGCGGCGTTGAGCGCCACCTGCGCCTCGTGTGTCGCTCTCCCCAGGGAGGAGAGTGAACGCAGGCGCGCGTTCTTCGCCGCTACAGCGCCCCGTCCGGACTCCTCTAAGGACGAGGAGTCTGAGATTGACTGGGCCCCCCTCGACATTCCACCTGTGCCCGCGGAGTGGGGTGACTGCGAGGACGGAGAGGTGTCGGAGGTCGGCTCTCTCCTCACGCTGGACGAGGTGGTGTCCAACCCGGAGCCGGACCGCTTCCCGCTGGACCACATGCCTGGGCTCTACGCCACGGCGGCGGCCATCATGGATGCCCCCCTGCCACCGCAACCGAACCAGAGGGTGGAGGACTTCACCTCTGGGTACGCAGCCCCTCGAGGGAGGAGGAGAGCCCAGCCCACGTTGTGCCCGCGTATGGACCCGATCGTCCATTACGCGACACGTGAGTGGCCAAAACCCCTAGCGGCCAAGAGGCCCGCTTTGGGGTATGGCATGTACTGCAACGTGCAGGACTGGTCCTGGACAGGCGGGGTCCCGGACATCGAGGACTCGGTTCGGGCGGCCCTGCACCCCTCCTCATCCGTGTGGCCCAGCACCAGACCTCTCCTTCCCTCCGAGCGGGATAGGATGTCTCTGGCTATGCATGACAGATGTTACGCCAATGCGGCTCAGGTCGTCGCGGTGGCGAACAACATGGCTTTCATCACCGGGGCCCTGGATAGGTCTCTCTCCTCTGACCAGGCACTCAGTGGAGACACCTTAGCCCAGGCGAGGACCACTTCAGCAGCGATCTTGCGCATGTGCCAAGCGCTAGCTGTCGATGGCGGCCGCTCTATGGCAGCAGCCCAGGTCGGGGCCAGACACCTCTGGCTGGGGGCGGTGAACCTCAGAGAGGCGGAGAAGAGGCAGCTGCTGGACCTGCCCATCTCCCAGACGTCGCTCTTCGGTCCGGAGATGCAGACGCTGATGACGAGGCTGGACAGCGCGGCTAAGGACTCGGCTAGCCTAGCAAAACACCTAGCTACGAGACGCGAGGCCCGCCCACCAGCGCGGAGCCGAGACAGAGGCAGGGAGCGCTCGCCTGGCAAGCGCCCCGGACCATATCCACGCTCCGTGGTCCATCGTTCCCCAGCGGCGAGACCCCCGGGCCCAGACAGGCACACGGGAGGTTCGCGGGACCAACACACCCATCGACGGCCTCCCTACGGTAGAGGAGGTCGGGGTGGTGTAAAAACTCTTTCAATAAAGGCCGTCCGGCATTTCACCAGTACTCGCTGTCTGAGTCTCATTTGGGGGTATGTAACATGTCAAATGATTTGAATTCTGTTTGTGTTACTTCTCGAGCATATAACGTGGCTCCGCCAGGCCTGCAGCCCCCAGAGAAGGGCGTGCAGCGCGCTGTGCAGACCACGAGCTCCGATTCACGGGTTCATGTTTTGCCCTCCCGGAGAGAGGGCAGGCGGAGGGATCTGATAAGTGCTAATGTGTGTGCTCCGGGCGCTAGCGTGTTAGCATCTCGGAGCTACAAGGCTAACACGGGGTTTCCCAATCCAGGGGCTCTCCCCCCCCTCCATGAGGCAAGAGCCAAGGGGGGGCGCAGCAGCCGTGTCACGCGTGATGAGCAGAGCTACATTGCTAACACGGGGTTTCCTAATCCAGGGGCTCTTCCCCCCCTCCATGAGGCAAGAGCCAAGGGGGGGCGCAGCAGCCGTGTCACGCGTGATGAGCAGAGCTACAATGCTAACACGGGGTTTCCCGATGCAGGGGCTCGCCCCCCCCTCCATGAGGCAAGAGCCAGGGGGGGGCGCAGCAGCAGCCGGGTCACGTGTGGTGAGCAGTCCCGTACTTATGACGTCGGACCTGCAGAACACGTGACCGCCCTCGGCGCTCACGGTGTGACGCAGGGGCCCCCCCGGCCCTTTCAGCCACCCCCCCTCCCTGCTAGGAACACCAGGAGGGGGCGGGGCCATGACGTCTCGTGTTCCAGCTCCCGTTCCGCCCCTCACAGATTTCTACGACATCTGGAAGGAGCAGGGCTTACTGTCAGATGTTTGGCTGGAGAAAACTCTGCGCAGAGGTTACGCTCTGCAATTTTTCCGAAAGCCACCACCATTCCGAGGCGTACGGGCAGTACGCTCTCAGGTACGGGGATCGACAGAGGCACTGGAAGCAGAGGTCTCCTCCCTGCTGAGTCGAGGCGCAGCAGTGGAGGTAGACCCGCAGGACGCCACCAGGGGGCTGTACTCCCCTTACTTTCTGGTGCCAAAGAAATCAGGCGGGGTGCGTCCCATTCTGGATCTGCGCGTGTTAAACGAGTGCATTTCCAAACGGCAGTTTCGGATGCTGTCCACAAGGCAGCTCCTCGAGTGTGTCAGGGAAGGAGACTGGATGACATCCATAGACCTGACAGACGCATACTTCCACGTACCCATAGTGCCAGAACACAGGAGATTTCTGCGCTTCGCAGTGGGAGAGAGGAATTACGAGTATTGCCGTCTCCCTTTCGGGTACGCTCTCGCGCCTCGCACTTTTTCCAAATGTGTGGAAGCGGCTCTGGAGCCGATCAGACGTGCCGGGGTAAGAATATTGACCTATATAGACGATTGGTTAATACTGGCCCCATCCAGGGAAGTGGCCGTGAGCCACACGCAATGGGTCTTGTCCCACATACAGCGTCTGGGCTTTGTGGTGAACAGGGAGAAGAGCAAGCTGCAGCCAGCCCAACGCATGATTTACCTCGGTCTGCAGCTAGACTCTGTGATATTCCGTGCTGCATTGTCCGTGGACAGACGGACGAATATTACCCGTCTGGCCCGGGAGGTTCTGGCGGGCCCCAGAGTTCCCGCTCGGCGCCTCAGGTCCCTGCTGGGGATGATGGCAGCGGCTCATGCTGTGGTGCGGCTAGGCCTGCTCCACATGAGAAATTTTCAGAGGTGGTTCTCGCGCCTCAGGCTTCACCCCTCCCGGGACGGGGGGAGGCTGATCTGGGTTCCCCAAGGGGCAGCATCGGACATCAGGTTCTGGCTCACTCCGGGTCTACTGCGGGACGGAGTGACTCTGGCCTGCGCTGTGTCTCACGCCGAGGTGTTCACGGACGCGTCGCTCGAAGGATGGGGCGGGGTCCTCGGCCAGAGCTCTGTAGGAGGCCGCTGGTCGGACTCAGCCCGTCACATCAACCTGCTGGAGATGGAGGCAGTGCACAGAGTACTGCTGCACTTTGCCCCTCAGCTGCAGGGGAGACACGTGATGGTGCGCTCAGACAACACCACAGTGGTCTCCTATCTGAACAGGCAGGGGGGCACCAGGTCCCCCGCTCTCCATCGCATGGCGACGGTGACGCTGCTGTGGGCGGCGCTTCACCTCCTGTCTCTCAGGGCGCGCCACGTCCCGGGGGTCCGGAACGTGGGAGCCGACAGGATGTCCAGGGGGGGCCCACTCCAGGACGAGTGGGGCCTGGCCCCACGGGTAGCCGCGGAGATCTGGCGGAGGTTCGGTCGTCCAGTAGTCGACCTTTTCGCCAGTGCAGAGAACGCACAGTGCCCGTCCTGGTTCGCCTTAAGGGCCGCGGACGAGCCGCCTTTAGGCGTGGACGCTCTGGCTCATTACCCATGGCCAGGCGGCCTGTTGTACGCTTTTCCACCGGTGCGTCTCCTGCCGGTCCTACTGCGGAGGATCGAACAGGAGAGGAGGTCGGTGATTCTGGTGGCTCCGGACAGCCCGCATGCCCGGTGGTTCCCCTTCCTGAGGGGCATGGCGGTGATGGAGCCCTGGGCCCTCCCGGACGAGCCGGGGGCTCTAGTCCAGGGGGCAGGAGCCCTGTTTTCACGTCCGATAATCGGCCGCAGGCTCTGGGTTTGGAGGTTGAGAGGCGGAGCCTCGTAGATCTGGGTCTTCCCCCTGCGGTGGTGGAGACAATTCAGGGAGCGAGGGCGCCGTCCACCGTGAGGGCCTACGCCACGAGGTGGAGGCTATTCAGTGCCTGGTGCGATTCCCGTTCCTGGGATCCCAGGTTTTGCCCGCTGGAGGGGGTCCTGGGATTCCTACAGGAGCTTTTCGACAAGGGGAGGGCTGTCGCTACCTTGGCGGTGTTTGCGGCAGCCATTACTTCAGGTCACGACGGGTTCGGGGGGTTCACAGCCCGCTCTCACCCGTTGATTAAACGTTTTCTGCGGGGGGGCGCGCAGGAGGAGGCCCCCGCTCCAGAGAACGCCTCCGGTTTGGGACCTCAGGGTGGTCCTTAGGGGGCTGTCGGGTTCGCCTTTTGAACCGGCGGCGGAGGCGAGTCCCGATTGTATCGCTTTTAAGACGGCCCTCTTGCTGGCGTTGGCGTCTGCAAAAAGGGCGGGCGATTTGTGTGCGCTCTCAGTCCATGCGTCGTGCCTGTCCTTTGGAGAGGACGACGGCATGGTGGAGTTGTGGCCCAATCCGGCTTTTCTCCCCAAGGTCATCACGTCGGCCTTTAGGTCGAGAGTGATCAGGATTAGGGCTTTCCACCCGCCGCCGCATGCCTCCCCCGAGGAGGAGCGGCAGCACCTTCTGTGTCCTATCAGAATGCTGAGGCATTACCTGGCCATGACGTCGTCATTCAGGTCGGGTGATCAGCTGTTTGTGTGTCTGGGCCCCAAGAACAGGGGCGCCCCGCTGTCGGCTCAGCGGCTGGCGCATTGGGTCGCCACGGCGGTGCGACGGGCGTATCAGGCGCAGGGCCTGGCCCCCCCGGTGGGTTTCAGGTCGCATTCCACGCGTGGGATGGCGGCCTCTACGGCCCTTCTCAGGGGGGCGTCGGTCGAGGACGTTTGCCGTGCGGCTTCTTGGGCGTCGTCCTCCTCTTTCGTCCGGTCTTATCTTTCGGATGTGTCGGACCGGTCGGTGGCCCATTCCGTGCTGAGTGCAGCGGATTGAGTTGGACCGTTGGGTCCCTCCCCTGAGGAGTGGGCCTTCGGTCTATTTTTCCGCCCTGGTGCAGGAGCTCTTGGGAGAGGCATCCTACAGGTGCGGTACATATATGTGTGTTTGATCGGTCTGGTAGTCTACATCAGGAGCTTTTGGGAGAGGCGTCCTGTGACTACGGTTGACCTACGATTGGTGTTACGTGGGGGCGTCCTTGGTAGGAGTGGCCCGGTAACACGCTTTGTTTCTTCTGCCCTGAGTCCTCTCACGGTGTGAGGGTCTTGCTCGGGCGGAGCTCCAATCACCCTTCGCTGGCCTGCTGGGAGTACATGTTTCTACGGCCTCCGCGTTGTGTCCCACTAGCGAAGTCCTAAGGGACGTAGCACCATGACGTAGAATTAATAGTTACCTAATGTAACTTAAGTTCTACGAATAGGTGCGTAGTCCCTTAGCTACGAGCCCATCAGGCCAGCCCGGCTTGGCAGAGTTCAAGAGGGGGTGCGGCCTTGTGCAGGGGCATTTATAGAGGAAGGTGGCTGGTGATTGGAGCAAATTATTTTGATCTCTCTGGCGTCTGTGACCTGGGGGTCACGTGATATCCCACTAGCGAAGTCCTAAGGGACTACGCACCTATTCGTAGAACTTAAGTTACATTAGGTAACTATTAATTCTAATTTGAGACTCAGTTCGTTTTTGTCTGTGTTTTGACTGAATCTGCTGAGTTCTTGTGTGTCCAATAGTGTTTGTTTGTTTTTATTTTTGATTTGTTTATTTATTTACTTTGTTTTTGTTTGTTTGTTTTTTCCCAGGATAGAGGATAAAATCCACTGATATTGATTTGATGATTAGGAGTTTAATGCATACATTTTCTTTATTTTTAATAATTTTTTAAAGTTTTTTTGGATTTTCTTTTTCTTTTTCCACTTTATTGATTGATCAGATTGAGTGATCACATGTGATCAAAGGGGAGGGTGTTAGTATTAGATAGCAATATGGCCTACGTGCAGGACTGTACAAGGACTCTACAAGGACTCCATGTTATGACTATGATTTGACTGTCTCTTTTGTGACACGTATGTCTTTCGATGTGTGACGTGACAATGACTATATAAACTGTGTACTGCCTTTATTCTGTCTGAGAGAAAGAAACAAAGTAAACCATTGGAACTTGAGAGAAACTTAAATAAACTTCCAGAGTTTGGCACACCACGATCCGTCTCTGTCTGCCTAAATCCCTGACACTATGTATTACTACGTTTGAATTTTGAATCTGGCAAGACCTGACGTCTGAAGCAAGACCTGACGTGAGCAGCCCCGTATATAAACGGCCCAGTCTCGGTTACGCCTCCGTAGCGAGTTGGAGAAGGGATAACAGAGTATTTTCATCGATTGTCAGGTTTGCGATTAGTAGTAGCATTTAGGGACATTTAGTCTTTATAGCGTTGTTGTTGAATATTGCCGTTTTAGTCATTATTTGCTTTTTTGTTAGATTAGTTAGCTGAATTTAGCTTAGGACTTTTGTTAATATTACTAGTGTTCTATATCGTGTGCAATTTCATTATATATTCTTTATTGTACTTGTGGACAATAAATACTACTTCATGTTTGAGCGTGTGTTAAATTACTGTCTCTGTTGTGCACATTGGGGTATCATTTCCCTTGTGGCCGCAGGTTACTGTGGCAGAGTTTAGAAATGTATAACTATATGACCCCCACAACATTATACTTTATCTTGGTCCGGGGTCATACATAAAATGTACAGACAAAACTGTGAAGAAAAGCACTGCAACATAAGCAGTTACTTATGGGAAGGCTACCTGTGACAGTTTGTACTTTTTATTCCATTCAAATCGATATTCAGAAACAGGCCCCATTCTGTGGCAGTCAGCTGCCTCTGGGACAGGTTAGTTTTACCCTACTGATGATGTGTTGTTGCAATCCTGCTCTGATAGGGCTGGGGGCCGGCGTCTGCCTCCTCTCTCTCAAGAGAAATCCTCCACCTCCTAAAGGTGCGTTCAGACCAAACGCGTCTTGAGCGTCCAAAGCGTTGGGTTTACATTGACATAACATGGGGGACGCGCGTCTAGGAGCGTCAAGAGACACGCGGCGCGTCACGCGCCTCCCGAGCAGCGCGTCTTTGAGCGTTTTCGCGCGTTTGGCGCGGCGTGTTTTGAGATTTTGAGCGTCTTGATGCGCGTGAAGCGTGTGACACGCGGCCGACGCTCGAGTTGAACAATGTTGAACTTTTCGGGAGAAGACGCGAGCGTCTACCAATCAGGAGCCTCCTCCAACAGTGACGTGGTAACTCATTTCACGGCAGGACCGAGGGGGACGACAACACAACAGCTATGGAGGACAAGCTGTGCGGTTAGCCCATGAGCCCTGCAGACTATAACCACCGTGACATGGAGGAGGGCTAGTGAGGAGGTTGGTGTCTCTGGTAAGTTATTTAAACTTTTCACTATCGCTAATACTTCCCTGCGCAAAATCTGTAATGTCATCTTTAGAGAGAAATACACCCACAGATTACATATTAAAGCTACACAGAGGAAACAGTCCATGGAGACAGCAGCTGTAGTATGCTAACATGTAGTATGCCAAGTAACACTGTTATCTGTATTCATATAAAATATATTGTGTATATAATTTATAATCCCACACTAAGACTGGGAATACTGTATAATTATTAACATTTACTGTATATATATATGGCTTATTATGAATCACTTTTCATACAATAGTCTGATAAATATAATGATGAAATAAGAGCACATTATAGAGATGCTTATTTTGTTATTAATAAAGGACATTTGCAGATGACAGTCTCACTTCCAAAAGCTTTAAAGTTGTTAGCCACACTCTTAAGTTTTATTTGTGTGTATATTTCCAGTATATTATTCTTCTGTTACTCATCAGTGTCTGTTACTCCTCAGTGTCTGTTACTCCTCAGTGTCTGTTTCTCCTGCTGTGTACCTCTAATATTAAATACAGGAAGGATTTATGTATTTTATTTTGAGGTGTCCATGTTTTAACTTGATGTTTGTGTTCTTTTTCAGAGATTTTGGTGAAATGGAACTCAGACTTTCTCTGACAGCAACAAAATCACACGCCATAATTTCTCCAGCTTCACCTCCATCACCTCCTGCTTCACTGCGGATTAACAATATGAACTAAAACAAACATTTTCATGTTTTATTTAATCATCAGTCATGAATAGTTAAGAACAGTGGGATCTGAATCTCTGAAGACGAGGAGCAGCAGCAGGAGCAGCAGGAGGAGCAGCAGCAGCAGCAGGAGCAGCAGCAGAGTCCTGGGCGTCTGCCTCAGACACCTTCATAGAGAGCCTGGAAATAAAAAATAAAAAATAAAACTTGTTGGTGTTATTATAATTTTGTTTTTTGTGTCTGAAGTGTAAAGAGTCATGAAAAAAAAGGTATTATTTACACAGGTACATATTTGTCAGCAGTACTTAAAGTTAAAATTGAATACATTCAACTCTAATCTGATCAGTAACAGTCTGTTGCTTTTCAACATCCTGTGTCCTTTTTACTGATGTTCGTTAAAATACAGATCCATGGATGTGCTTATTATTCTTATAGATCCATGGAAATTCCTTTCTCATCATAAAACACGTCATTACATTTATGTTAGTGATGCAAAAACGAGGGCCATAGCAAATAAATCAATCATATATCATTTATGGCATATGTGTGCATTGTTTACATACACTATGACTTTGTAAAAACTAATGAGTACTGCCAATACAATTGTTATAACAGAGAAAGTCCGTAACAAAAGCCTCGGATTTTCAGAATTAAGATTGTGAGAGCTCCACTGATGTGTCCCCGCGTTGAGACGCTCTTTCTCGGCTTGAGCACTGCCCGACCCCCGCTCTCTGCACTGGAGAAAAGTCTGACAATGTTCTATTTGATCACCAAACAGACCTCCGATATGGCAATAGAGGGGGGTATTTCTCGCCTCAAATGTTATTACAATTAACTTTTATGTCCTAATTAAAGCGTATTTTACACTTTTTACCTTAAAGGACAACTCACCCTCAAATCCACTTTTTTTTGCTGATAAACGGTATAAATGAGTGTCCAATAGTGTTGTCTACATATCCTGGTCATAATTTTGTCACTTTGGTGCAAATTAGTTGAAAGTTAAACTTTCTGCCTAAAACCGCCTGTGAGGCTCCATCTGCTGGCGACCTGTATTACTACATTTGAATTTTGAATCTGGCGCCAACACTGGCACGGCAGCAAGACCTGACGTCTGAAGCAAGACCTGACGTCAGCAGCCCCCCGCCCAGAGCAATGTAAACGGCCCAGTCTCGTTCACCCGCCCCCTTTAGTCCTCCAGGCTACGCCCATTTAGAGGAAGATTTGAACAGGAAATGTGAGGGACGTAAGCTCCAAGGAGCGGGGGTGAGAACCTCTTTAATCCTGGCTCCCGTGTCCTTCCCTCTCCGAGTTGTGTTGGCAACAGAGCAGGCCTGACCCAAAACGCTCTTCCTTGACGCTCCTCCAGAACGCTGCCCTCTAGTGTCCAGGACGCGTATGACGCGCCTCCAAGATGCTCTGTGACAGCGTCTGCCACAATTTGTCACAAGCATCCCAAGACGCGCGTCAGACGCGATTTTGCCGCAGAAAACGCGCTTGGTCTGAACGCACCTTAAGACCGCACAGAATCATTAGAGCTGGTGTCTGATCACTCTCTACATCTTTGACAGAGCCAATGCTGATGTCAAGTGTCAATCACAGTCTAGACCCGCCCAACATTTCCCCCCCGCCTGTCCCCTTTAGTCCTCAAGGCTACGTCCATTTGGAGGGAGATCTGAAAAGAAAATGTGAGTGACGTAAGCTCCGAGGAGCGGGGGTGAGAACCACTTTAAGAAGGCCAAATATCAGTGGCTTTAGTGGCTGTTCAGAACAGAAATCAGAAGCAAATGCAAAAAATTAACAAGTCTGAGTCTGAAAAATATAGGTATGTAAAGCCCTTATTACCACATTGGTCATTTCAATCTTGATCTAAATGATTTATTCTAATACTGTCCATTGCCAATTTTCCACCCTAAAATTAAGTGACCGCTTATCATATCTCTTGATACATTAAAGCAGGCGTGTCCAAACTTTGAATTAAAAGGGCCACTTTAGTTCCCGAGACTTGTCCAGGGGCCGACAACACGGATTGTAAAACTATTTTGGCTAGAATTGGTCTAAATGAGGTATAACATGACCATTCATACATATATACTCATCTGTGAGAGCTGAGGTTATCTGATAAGCCATAATGAAAAAGAAATTAATTATGTGAATACTAATAAATGGATTCAAAAGGTTGGATGGATCACACTATGAACTTGTGTTTATAATCTCAATGTCATTTGGTAAGCATAGGGCCACATTTAAGGACAAAGCGGGCCGCAATTGGCCCTCGGGCTTGAGTATGAACATGCCTGTATTACAATCTAGAGAGGGCCACTTTCACCAGACTTTCATTCAAAATGTACTGAACATATAACAATGATCCATGGGTGAACTAAAAGTCATGAATGAATACTTTAGTTTGAGCCATGGCAAACAAGAACAAAGGACAACAACAGAATAGAAAAAGAAACAATACGTGATAATATAGTATATATCATCACATAATATATCAGTGTTTTTCAATCAGTGGGCCGTGGCTTGTTGTTGTGCCTTGAGATGATGGTTGGTGTGCCTTTGGAAATGGTTCTATGTCACCTGATTGCATTTTAACACAAATGACTTTTCGTTGTTGATAAAGGCTTTAGAGTTTCAATTTTGAATCTGCTTCAGCTGGTGCTGTGCCATGTAACTGTTTTAAACAAAAAAAAGGTGTGCCACAGCTCAAAGGTTGGGAAAGGCTGTGATCTATGATGTATGCATACCTATTGGATATGATAGATAGATAACTACTTTACTGATCCCCGTAGAAATTCATGTGTCCAGCTGTAAAAAACACATAAGTACATAAATTATACACATTTATAAACAGTTCTAACTAACTAACAATTGTGCACATTTTTAACTCAGACAGGTCCGTTGTACAGTCTGTCAGCCGAATAATTTGCATTCAGCTGCCAAACTCAACAGCAATTGCCACATTCATCATCCAAGAAAGTACTACCCATGACTCGGTTTTATTTTAGTTTCACATACTCAATACCGAATACTTTAGCTATAGTTTACCAGTTGTGATTAACCAGTAAGTCATCAAAAGCCATAATTGAAGTAGATAGTGAAAGAAGCACCCTGGAGAAAAACACCTCATCATTTTAGATTCTTTTAGATTACATACAAACCCAAGTATTTCAGCGGTAATTACCAAATCATGTAAAATAGATGGAAAACAGTGATAAACAGGTCTCGGGAGAGTTAAAGTGTTTCACACAGAATAATGAGACAAACATGTCAAGTTCACTGTGTTAAATCCAATTTAGACACTGTTTAAAAACTCAACTCACCGCGGCTCCACGGACCCAGAGTCCCTCAAGCAATTTACAATTATGAACCATGACAGAGCACAGGGTACCCGGGCAGCGGAGGGGCACTTAAACAGTTCAAACATGGAGGCAACAGAACAACATGTGGGGCCACAGAGTAAACAGGTGCCTCCATATTTAAAGATATACTGGGGATATACATCTGCAGTAAAACCATATTGGAATACATGTGCAAATGTGTGCCAATGTGCACCAGTCAAATTACAATTAGATTAAAACATATTTTCCATAACTGTACATACTTTCATTCAAATTCAAACACAATGTTTTCATTGATCATACTTTTTTTGGTATTTTGATGTTTTTTTTTTATATGAGAGTTCCACAGAAAGTTATGAATCTCATGGGTCCAGGCGTGGCAGAAGTTGGCATGTACCTGCGTAAAATGGGGGTAATCAAAGTGATGTGAGGGGAATAATATGAATATGATGACTAACTAGTATGTGGTTTGTTTAATTAATGGTTTGTGTCATTTGATCTAATATTACTTAAAAATTATGTATAAGTCAAAAAGGAAAAAATATCTTGTGACCTCCACTTTGGGCACCACTGGTCGAGAGAGATTAGAACTAAATACCTCATTATTGTACAACATCAGCAAAACCATGACTACTGAAAATAAAGCTGCACCTTTTGCATGCAGGAATCATGCATTTTATAACAGGAGGTTGGTCATTCTAGTTCAGGGGTCTCCAACCTATAGCTCGGGAGCCACCAGTAGCTCGCCACCTCCTTTCAGGTAGCTCGCCAAAGGATTTAGAAATGAACAAATCAAATAATATAGTAAGTAAGTTTTTATCTTTTCACTGCAGATCTGAGTCTCAAAGCGGTTTACAATTGTTAATTTTTGGGCATTTGTCTCTCACTCCACACAGAGATGGGAGCGGGGCCAGTACAGGAGGCACATGCCAGAACTATTGGACATATTTTTAGTGGTAGGGGAAACCGGAGTACCCGGAGGAAACCTACGCAGACACAGGGAGAACATGCAAACTCCACTCAGAAAGGCCCTGGTCCGACCGGGATTCGAACCCAGGACCTTCTTGCTGAGAGGCGAGAGTGCTATCCACTCAGCCACCGTGCCGCCCGTAATATAATGAATATTTCACATTGATTTATTATTTATTATGCACTTTTTCACCAGTAACAAATATGTGATGGTAAATAATGACTCCAATATATCAACTTTTTTTTTTCAAGGGCCGCTTAAAGGAGTAGCTCTCTGCCTTTATTGTCCCGGGAAAGTAGCTCTTTGTGTAAAAAAGGTTGGAGACACCTGTTCTAGTTCATGTACCTTGATTGTGAGTTTGCCCTTCCTCTCACATGAACATAGCTTGTATGTCATTGCGTTCCACATTGCTACGCTCTGTATTCTCGCCACATTCTGTAAGTCTCTCGGCTCCTCTCCATTTGACAGCTGCTGCTCTCGAGCTTGCATCCTGCCACCTCACTTCAATTTGCCCTAATTTGAGAAGGGGCAGGTGCTGCGCCAAGGCCCCGGAATCTGATTGAAGCTGCGTCCGCATTGACCTCACAAACTCAACATGGACAATACACACACATGC